TCAGTCTCTCTCCTAATATCATCACACTCTGTAGGACTTGTGGCCGCAGGATTCCCCCAGGTTTCACTTGCCCGTGAACACATCCTCTCCCCATAAGAAACTAAAATTCTACTCAGTATGCATACACCCAAACCGTAACTAGCTCTCATTATATATATATATATATATAAGTCATTATATATATATATATATATAACTTTGTCACTCATTATATATATATATATATATAAGTCATTATATATATATATATATATAACTTTGTCACTTTTACTTTCTTCCAATAATTCAATAAAACATTAATAAAGTTGTAGTGGCCTATCCATTGTGTTTTTTATTTTTGTTCTTTGACCACACAAAACCATTGGTGGTTATAGATATCTCTATGGAAGAAACCATTATAAACAACTTGATACATACGTAAACTCAAATCGCAAACAAAATGATTTTATATTCTAATGTCTTTCTCTCTTGATCTCTGCTGCAATAAATCCTCACTACTCTTCTATATGGAGCACATGAATTTGCAACCTTAGAGACTGAAAGGACAATCGGTAATAAAAAACAAAATAATAATCCAGGATTAATTTAGTTGGATTAGCACATGCAGTTTATAAATCCTCTGTGGGATCTGGCCGTCGGCATCCCTTACTTACTTGAATTTTTTAGTTTTAGTTTTCGTTTTGCAAAGTTAAATTCAAATTAATTTATTTTTCTTATTTAGATAAAAAGGTACAAATAAATGTCGATTTTGATTTTTGATAACTTAATTTTGATCTTAACCACAAAACTTAATATTTAGTTGAGTGGATGATACACATAACACAAATTACGTCCATGATACGTTAACCGTACGTGGGTTGCTTCTCGAATAGAAGCTCTACAAATAGGAAGACAATTAATGTCACTTAATCTGTATATTTACACATTTGTTTTTGTTATAACGCAAACGGTGAAACATACTTCCTCCGTTTTAATAAGTGTTATTCTGACACATTTCACACAGATTAAAAAATTAATAAAATATATAAATATACACTTAATTAATATACACTTAATTAATATATTTTTATAACATTTAATTACAAAGATTATTATCTTTAAATGATAGATAAAACAGGAAATAATAGTAAAAAATTACATTGAAAATGTAGAATGACATTCTTTTTAAAACAAAAAATGAAATCTAAAACAATACTTATTATGAAACGGAAGAATCAGTAGATTTATGAAAACATTGTGTCTACTGATTCCAATGTTTTCTTTGATTACTATAATCAATACTAATATGTATCGGTTGCATGAAATGATTATACAAATCACATTAAAAATAAAAATGATATTAATATCTGTAACGAACGACTATAATCAATACTAGGCATGGGCACGGGACGAATACTTGCCATTTTTGGTATACTTGATACTTGACTTGCCCCGTTCAAGTATCAAGATATTTGTACTTGTACTTGACTTGTTAATATCAAGTACTTGCAATTTCAAGTACTTGCCAAATTTTTCATTACTTGCAAGTTACTTGGCTTGTCCTCTTACTTGTAAAAGTACAAATAGAATACTAAAAAACCTAAAATTTTGAGCCATATTTAATTAAAACCTACGATAATATTTAATATTTTGACCTTTAGATTTTTGGAAAGCTTTAGATATTGAAGTCTGGCAACTTATTTGTCTTTTGATAAGCAGACTCTTCTTTCATTTTTTGTGTTGTAATCGATGTGGAACAAAATTAAAAAAAAATCAGAGATTAGAAACGAGTAACGGGTCAATAAAACCAAGTAGTAACTTTTTTTTTAATACTTGATACTTGCCTTATACTTACAAGTAATCTTCTTAATATATTTGATACTCGACTTGATCAAAACAAGTACTTGGTTTTACGGGACCAGTACAGGTCAAATAACGAGTACGAAACGAGGAACGAGTACCAAGTAATTGTGCCCAGTCCTAATCAATACTACTGATTCCACAGAGTGTGTCAGTATCAGTCACAAGGAGGAGGACGAGATTGTCCTGGTTAAAGACGAAAGTACCCCCAAGAGTTGCCGGATTGATATGGAAGATGATGACAAATGATTGACAATGACACTTGCGCGCGGAATGTATTTCTACTGCACAGGATGATGAAGAGTGGTCGGCTTTGGATGGATTGACCAGGGTTAACAGTCTCTTGAGCATTCCAAGGTTCTTCTCTGGTGAGCTAAGATCAAATAGTTGGAGAAAATGGTTTTGATTTTTTTTTTCTTTCTTTGACTTGTGTGATCGCGAACAAAAACACTTGATACTATCACCAAGTTCTTTGTTTTCATATTCAACTTTTTCTTCTACTTTTTTTTTTGGAATTTCTTTGCATATATATAATGTTTTTCTCTTGTGTTTCTATAACATGTCAAACTGTTCACAGTACAGATATAATTCATCAAAGAAAGTTTTGTCTATATCGACCAAGAAACTATTGATATCGGATACTTTCATCCTTCTCTGTTCTTCATTACTTTGATTTGTAGAAGTGAAAAAGAAATGATCTTTCAATACTAATTATGTATTTTTAATTTATTATGTCATCGTACATATTTTTAATAAATTTATGATCATTATTACAATTTAAAATTTTATTACTTAAATAACTAATTATTGTTACTATATAATTTTACTTAAGTATACAGTTAAAACATATAATTTTATTTAAGTATAAAATAGAAGCATCCTTTTTTTTTTGACATCAAATAGAAGCATCCTAATTGAGAAATTTCGTTCATAAATAAAAAAGTTGTACTCTAAAATTGGAAAAATGAATAGCATAACTCCAAAATTATTATTATTCTTTTTTAATGGAGATGATTTGAGTTTTTGGGGTTGTGGCAAGACCTACTTATTATTGAACTATTTTGGTAATTGTCAATATTGTGTACTAATTTTATTTTATTTTTAGTGGTGATAATT